CTTTTCCTTTCACTTCCTTTTATATCTACCTGTGTCAGTTTACATGTCCCTGCCCTCATGGGCGGATAGCTTTGTGGGGTTCACTCCTACAATTATCATCCTACTTCAGCACACCCATACCCCATCTTCTAAGTGTGTAATGATTTCTGCTCATTTTAATAGAATCTCCCTCCTCTATGCCTAGGATGGGTGTACATCTCTACAACTGCAATTATAATGGAGTGGAAGCATATCCCTGCTTAGAGCAAACCTCAGCACCTCCCACTCCAATGGAGCCATCGTCAGCCTCACTACTACACTGAAAAAGAAGGTTCCCTGCCTGGGGACAATTAGCACCAACTAGGACACCATTTGGGCTTCTGACTTTCAAGTTATTTCCTGGAACTCATCACACAACCATATCCTCCAACCCACCCTGATTCATTCTCACTAATGGACAATAAAGTAGAGGACCATTTATAGTCCAATTGGCCATACAATTTAAAGAACATGTTTGTTACCAGTTTCATATACTTTCCCCAGACATGAGTTCTAAGACTATTTGGTCCTTGTTTTTTTTTTCTATTTCCATAAAGGCATGTTTCTATCCACATCCCATCCTCATAGCCAAAAATACTAAGAATATGAGAGTCTGAGATTATACCCTATGTAGCTAGCAAGACAATTCATGGATGCTGGTAGAAGGAATAAGACTTCTGACTAAACAAGATGAAGTACTATTACTTGCATTACTAGCAGGAGACACCATTATTATCTGCATTATAGTTCCAGTTCCTACTTGAAAATGTGAAGAGAACCTGAGAATGTCAGTGCTACAATGAGATGTTGAAAAAGAATTTTGATTTTAAAAAACCTGAATCTGCCCTCTGCCCTTAAGGACACTACTACCACAGTTATCTTCTGAGATCATTCACTATATAACTAAAACCTTGAACAGGAGGCTCAGAAAAATGTAAAGGGCCACAGTCATATTATTTACATAAAGTTGAGCATGATGGCATGCTCCTGTAATCCCAGCACTTCACGTAATCCCGGCACTCAGGAGGCTGGGGAATGATGATTTCAAATTCAGGGTAAGCTGATTCTGTCCAAAGTGATCCAGTCCCCCCCAAAAAAAACAAAAAGAAGGATATGTGCATAAATATAGCAGTCATTGAGGATTGTCTTCCAACAGAAAGGAGATCGAGAACGACTCACTGTATCTGGCCTCAATGAAGGAGAGACATACTTGCCCAGTATCCTTCTGTTGCTACTAGAAGGAATACTTGCAGCAGTTATGCCACATATTCTGTAATGTATGATTAGTTACCCCCCAAAGACATAAAACTATACTAACCAATAAAATAGTTCAGTAGCAATTACAAAATAAACACATAAAATAGCTTTCCAATATGCCAGTAAGAACTAGGTAATTAGTTAGAAAATATAATGGGAAAAGATTACATTCAAAATAGCATCGAAAAGTTGACACATCTAGAAGCAAAGTTAAAAAGAAATATACAGGACTAAATAAAAATGGCCATAAATTTTCACTAAAAGACATAAAAATAATAATTGAACCAGTTGAGGAACATTCTTTATTCTTGGGTGGGAGAATTTGCTGTCATAATAATGTCAAGTCTCTCAAAATTTATCTGCACAGTTAATGTGATTCTAGTCCCCAAGATTTGAGCATTAGGATTCAGAGATGGTAGGATTGTCATGAGAGGGACACTTGATTCCTTGTTAGAACCAGGGTGGACAAGTTGTTGCAATCATCATTGAATGGTCAAAAATAGGGAGTTTGCCAGTTTTGCAGAACAAGTTCATGATCTGCAAATATCTGTGACTTATGAAGGCACTAATACAACTTGTTATTTCTCTCATATCAAGTTCTATGCTGCACTTCCCAAATCTTTCCATAAAAGCCTAAAGCCAATGCATAAGAATCATTTTTGCTTTAATTTTATTATCATATATTAATTATAATAGTGGGTTTATTATGACATTTTTACACATGCTCATAACATATTTCAATCATATTCCTACCCAGCACCCTCTTATGTCTCCCTCCCATTCTCACTAATTCCCCTCCACTTCCCAATTAGTTTCCCCTCTGCATGTATTTATTTATTTTAATTTACTTCTCTTGTATGTGACCCAATGAGTTTCCTTAGGATTACTTACTTACAGGAGCATGGTGAAGATTTGTTTGGGGGTTGTTCTTTCTGTTAATTCTTCAAGAATTTCATGTAATAAATTTTGATCATATTCAGTCCTTACTTCTCTCAGATTATCCCCCAACATTCCTGCTTCCTGCACTTTGTGTCCTTTGTTTCTTATAACTTATCAACAGCCCGGCAGTAGTGGCACATGCCTTTAATCCCAGCACTCAGGAGGCAGAGGCAGGAGTATCTCTGTGAGTTCCAGACCAGCCTGGTCTACAAAGGCTAGTTCCAGGACAGCCACCAAAGCCACCAAGAAACTCTGTCTCGAAAGACCAAAAATAAATAAATTTATCAACTCCAGTTTGTGCTATCCATATACTTCTAGCTGTGTCAGCATCCACTGGGATGTGGGCTACCTACCAGGAACCACACCCTAAAAGAAAACTGACTGTCCCTACCCCAGAAGCCATCAACTGTCCATAGCTCCTCAGTTATTGGTAGGGGTCTAGGAACTCCTTCCCATTCCATGCTAGAATGCTGACTGGCTTAATAGTCATGTGCAAGCAGAACCAGCTGCTGTGATTTGTGGGTATGTCAGTGCAACGTCTATGGGTTTATGGGTGAAACCCCCGGCTCTTAGGATCTTTCTGAAGATTCTTCCAAGACAGTCCCTTAGCCATGGGGATGGGTTGCTATATAGATGTTCTATTTGTAGCTGATCATGCCATAGTCACTTATTTTCTGCCCCTTGACTGAGTTTCTGCATTAACCACCATCTACTGCACACACACACACACACACACACACACACACACACACACACACAAAATCTGATGAGTCTGAGAGCTACTCTAGTCTGTGGCTAGAAAGACACAGATTGCTCTCCTACTGTATCCCTCCCCCAATTCGACCATCCCATCCCCTCATGTTCCCATCCCTCATTTCCCCTCCTCTACCCTCCTGCCCCCAGTTTACCCAGGAGATCTCATCTATTTCCCCTTCTCAGGGTGATCCATGCATCCCTCTTATGGTCCTCCTTGTCACCTAGCTTCTCTGGAGCTGTGGATTGTGGTCTGGTTATCCTTTGCTTTACATCTAGTGTCCACTTATGAGTGAGTACACACTGTGTTTGTCTTTCTAGGTCTGGGTTACCTCACTCAGGATGATTTTTTGAGCGACACAGATTTAGAGAGTACTTCAATGCAATGTCCACTTAGCAGAATAACAGCAGCAGGCTCACTCCTGGGGCCTGTGAGCTCCCCAACCATGAGTTCTTGGCCAGATTTACAGTACTAGATACACGTTTTCTCCTGCATAGTCTTAAGTCCAACCAGAAAGCAATTGGATGCTCTCGTATCATTTGTGTACTGTTGAACCCATGGGCATAGTGTGCCATGCCAGTCCTTACTGCAGTTCACAAAGCTCAAAGCAGATAAGACTGTTGATATTTTTCCCCAGAAGTCTGATAGCACCTCTCAGTACTGTGGTGCTTCCTGGTTAGTACTGACTTGATTTTTCCATGTCCTATGATCAATGTGTGTGGTGTTTTAAGCAATAGGGCCTTGCCACAGTTCTTGCAGAAAACCAAGAGCAATTCAAATATCCTGCCTTGCTTTGGGTGGTCTCTGGGACACCCCTGACAAACCCCTTGAAGGAAGGTATCCCACATCTGTACTAGGGTTTTTATGTGGTAACCTATGGCTTCTTGAATGAACATAACCCCTGTTCAACCCCAATCAAACTTTTTATATGATATGCAGTCTTGTAAAACAGTAAGTTTCTATATGATTTTTTCAAACAGCCTTAGAGTTTAATCCCCTCCACATCCTATCTCCCATCCCTCTCCCCACTTAAAACTCCCTTTTCACTGTTCTCTCTTCCCCTTTCATTTTACCTGAGTTCTACTACCACTACCTCCCTTAAGATCTTTCTCCCCCACTTTTGACTGTCAACTGTCCCTTTCTAGTTTCCTGGATTCAACAGATACTCCAAGTTAAACATACAAATCAAATATTTAATGCTAAAATCCACTTAAGAGTGAGACTGTATGAGATTTGTCTTCCTGGGTCTGTGTTACTTCATTCAGTGCAATGTTTCCAGTTCCATCCATTTACTTTCAAAATTCATGATCTTGTGTTTCACTACTGCTGAATAAAATGACATTGTATTTAGGTACCACATTTTCATTATCCATTCATCAGTTCTGGGCATCTTGGTTGTTTCCATGTTCTGACTATTGTGAATGGAGCATCTGTGCATATGGATAAGAATGTATGTCTGTAGTAGGAAATAGAGTCCTTTGTGTATGTGCCCAGCTGTGGTATAGTTGGGTAATATAATAGATGTATTTCTAGTTTTCTGAGTAACAACCATACCGACTCTGCAGTGACAGCACCAAATTGCATTCCTACCAACCGTGCATGAGGTTCCCCATATCCTTGCCAACATTTGTTTTCTTAACCTTGACCATTCTGACTTGGGTAATATAAATCTCAAAGCAGTTTTAGTTTGCATTTTAGAAAAAAAAGAGAAGGGAGTACACTTTAGGATATAAGCTTAAGAAAGGACTTTCTGAATAGGATTCTGGTCACCCAGGAGATCAGATCATCAATAAGTGGGACTTCATGAAACTAAAAAGCTTTTGCAAAGGAGATTCTTCACCTAGTGAAGAGTCAGCCTACAGGATGGGAAAAAAATCCTTGCCTGCTGTACATCTGACAGAGGATTAGTGTCTAGAATACACAAGCACCTCAAAAAAAAAACTAAATTAAACACTAAGAAAACAGCTCAGTTAAAAGGCAGGCTGCGGACCTACACAGAGAGTTCTCAGAAGAAATACAAATGGCTAAGAAATGCTTTTTGAATGAGGATTTTATTACAGGATCTTAGGAATCTTATCATTTGCTAGACCGCTAAACAAGTCTCTCCTCCCATCAAATACTAACTGCTCAGGGAAGGGTGGGGCCCCTTGACTCCTTCCCCTCCCATGGCAGGATTTTGACAGACCATAACTTGAGGAGATATGGTGTAGGTAAACACAGATGCAGTAAGTTCAAAAGTACAATAGCTATATCATATCTAGAAGTCAGCATTCCAAACTCTTCCTCTTCCCATTGCTCTGGCTCTTGTATTGTTTCTGCCTTCTCTTCTGAGATGCCCCCTCAGTTTCCCAGGAGGAGTGCTATAGGTGACCTGTTGAAGGTTGAGAAATCAGCAGTCACTTCATTCTCGGTACTTCGGCCAGTTACCTGACTCTGCATCCACCACTGATCAGAACGAAAAGAAGCTTCTTGACCAAAACTGGTTACCAATCTATGGCATAAACACAGTTACTTGGAGTGATTTAGAAGGCAGGTTAACAGGTACATCATGTCCATTTGGCAAAGCAACAAGAGTAGCTTCCCCCGACTAGGGGCTAAGATTTTCCTGGCCAAAACTGGGTTTACAGTATCAGATATGAATTCAATCCTGTGGAGTAAGCATAAAATTAAATCAGAGATACGTTAATTATCCCATAACAGATTTGCCACAAATGTACAATAGGATCATCTTACCTGTTGGATTGGTATTCTCACTTGCAGGACCCACAGCGGACTAACACTGCTGATAAAACCTTTCCCCGACAGCCTAGATAATGCTTTTGGCATGTGAGGGCTAGCCAACAGGAGAAAAACATTTTTAATTTTTTTTCATTTTACATACCAACCCTGTTCCCCCTTCCTCTCTTTCTCCTGCTCCCACCTGCCCCCCCCATCCCACCCCATATCCACTCCTCAGAGTGGGTAGGGCCTCACTTGGGGAGTCAACAAAGTCTGTTATACCAAGTTGAGGTGGGAATAAACCCCTCCCCCACCGCATCAAGGCTGAGCAAGGTATTCCACCATAGGGAATGGGCTGCAAAAAGCCAGTTCATGCACTCAGAATAAGTCCTCAGTCCACTGCCAGGGCCTCCACACACAGATCAAGCCACATAACTGTCACCCACATCCAGAGGGTTCAGTCCCATGCAGGTTCCCCTACTGACAATCCACAGTCTGTGAGCTCCGAATAGCTCCGGTCAGCTGTCTCTGTGGTTTTCCCCAAGGTGATCTTGACTCCTGCTACTTCATGTGATCCCTCCTCCCTCCTCCTTCTCTTCAACTGAACTCCAGGAGCTCAACTCAGTGCTTGCATCTGATTCCATCAGTTACTGGATGGAGGTTCTGTGATAACAGGGTGACTACTAATTTGATTATAGGGGAAGGTCGGTTCAGGCACCCTCTCCACTATTGCTTAGGAGTCTTAGCTGGCATCATCTTTGTGGATTCCTGGGAATTTCCCTAGCACCAGGTTTCTTCCTAACCCTATAATGGCTCTCTCTATCAAGATATCTTTTTCATTGCTGTTCCTCTCCATACCTCCCCCCTACTCGGCCATCTCAATCCTTTGTGTTCCCATCCCCCATCCCCTCCCTTCTACCCCCAACTCCCAGTTTTCCCAGAATATCTTAACTATTTCCCCTTCCTGGGGCCCTCCATGTGTGTCTAGAGTCCTCCTTTTTACCTGGCTTCTCTAGGGTTGTGGATTGTAGCCTGGTTATCCTTTACTTTGTGTCTAATATCCATTTATTAGTGAGTACATACCATGTTTGCCTTTCTGGGTCTGGATTACCTCACTCAGGATGATTTTTTTCTAGTGCCATCCATTTGCCTACTAATTTCATTAGATGTCGTTGTTTTTTACAGCTGAGTAATGCATGAGTAAAATGTACCACATTTTCTTTATCCAATCTTTGATTAAAGGACATGTAGGCTGTTTCCAAGATCTGGCTACTATGAATAATGCTGCTATGGACATTGTTGAGCAAATAACCTTATGGTATGATTAAGCATCTTTTGTGTATATGCTCAACAGTGGTATTGCTTGGTCTTGAGATAGATTTATTCCTAATTTTCTGAAAAACTGCCATACTGATCTCCAGAGGAGTGGCTGTACAAATTTTCACTCCCACCAGCAGTGGAGGAGTATTCTCCTGACTCCACATCCTCTCCAATGTAAGCTGTCTCCAGTGTTTTTGAATTTAACCCGGTGTAAGATAGTAATCTCAGAGTCATTTTGATTTGCATTTCCCTGATGATTAAGGATGTTGAGCAATTCCTTAAATGTCTTTTGACCATTTGAGGTTCTTCTGTTGAGAATTCTCTGTTTAGATCTGTACTCCATTTTTAAATTGGATTATTTGGTATTTGGTCTAGCTTCTTGAGTTCTTCATATATTTTGGAGATCATCCCTCTGTTAGATGTGGGGTTGGTAAAGATCTTTTCCCACTCTGTGGGCAGCCATTTTGTCTTATTGACTGTGTCCTTTGCCTTAGAGAAGCTTCTCTGTTTCAGGCAGCTTCATTTATTAGTTGTTGGCTCTTAGTGTATGTGCTACTGGTGTTATATTTAGGACGTGGTTTCCTATGACAATGTGATCAAGGATACTTCCCACTTTCTCTTCTTACCAGTTCAGTGTAGCTGGATTTATGTTGAGATCCTTGATCCACTTGAACTTGAGTTTTATGCATGCAGATGGATATGGATCTATTTACATTCCTCTATATGTCGACATCCAGTTGTGCCAGCACCATTTGCTTTCTTTTTTCCATTGTACAATTTTGGCTTCTTTGTCAAAAATCAGGAGTTCATATATGTGTGGATTAGTATCAGGGTCTTCAGTTTGATTCCATTGATCCATGTGTTTGTTTTTATAACAATACCAAGCTGTTTTTATTACCATAGCTCTATAGCAGAGCTTGAAGTCAGGGATGGTGATCCCTCCAGAAGTTCTTTTATTGTACAGGATTGTTTTGGCTATCCTGGGTTTTTTTGTTTTTCCATAAGAAATTGAGCATTGTTCTTTCAAGGTCTGTGAAGAATTGTGTTGGGATTTTGATGAGGATTGTATTGAATCTGTAGGCTGCTTTTGGTAAGATTGCCATTTTTACAAGGAGAAAACTTAAGCCCACTTCCAGCTTGATTTCTTTGTGTTCTACAAGCAATGCATGTGGCCCAAGCCCTCATGTTTAAACCTTTTTCTACTGGATTGTCCCACTAAATCCCAAGTCCCAGAAATGATATTTCTGCAGCATACTATATGTATGATGGATAAAGAGGTAACTAAGTTAGAATTGAGAGTGTTACCAACCCCAAAGAAGCTTTCAGGACTCCAACAAAGACGTGTTTGATACTGTGTTCAAAACTTAGTTTTCATCAGTACACCTGTACTCATCCCCATTCCTCAATTACAACAAAATTTTACTTATATAAAAATAATCTGGAAATAATTTGGATCTCCTCCTCTCAGATTCTTCTATCATGACAGTCATGCATACACTTAATGCCATACCTATTTGTGTCCCCTCTAAGGAAGAAGAACCCTGAAAGGTGGGCTATATCACAGCAAATCAACCTTCCCCACTTAGGAAAAAAGCAGCAAGAAAAATCTCCATCTTCTTTTATAGTCAGAAAAGAATTTTCATGCTCCTTATTTTCCACAGACTTCATTCACATAAAATCACAAATTAAATAAGTTGTAGAAGGTCTCCACCCCAAAGTCTATTTATATGGCTTGATTCTGTGTTTGTTGAATTTTCATGACTATAACAAAATGCCTGAGATAAATAATTGGGAATAAAATTTTATTTAGTCTCATAGTTTCAGAGATTTCTGTCCAAGGTCATCTGGATACACTGTTCACAGCATAAAAGAATGTTCTATAACAATCCACTTTTAGGGATTGTATATGAGAATCAACAATGATGAGACAGAGCACCAAGAGAATGTAACAAAAGTTGCTCATTAAACAGCAACCAGGGAGCAAGGAGATATGGGCAGAAAATCTAGGGCAACATGGACCCTTCAAAGACACACACCACAGTCTGCTTCATCCAGCAATCCCTACATTCTGGTAGTCCACTGATGAAATCTGTTTCTTCATGATCTGATCACCTCTCAGTAGCACTGCTGGATGAAGACCAAGCCTATGACACATTAGTGTCTTAGTAGGACTCTTCATAGTCAAACCACAAGTTCCAACTCTATTATATTTATGTATCACAGCCTCATAATCTGTAGGGCTGGTATAAAATGAAAATGTTAAAAATATACATTAAAAATTATAAGACAACAAGAGCTGTACATTATCTGAAGTGTGAGGTTTAGGTCTGCATTTACATTTTATACTGCTCAGGGTTGTCAACATAACAGTAAATACTTCTTTCCATGGGTTTTATAGGATTAGACACTGATTTGGCATCAATGGCATGGAGGCAAACAATAAGAACCAATAATTCATCCAAATGCTCAAATACAAGTTCAGACCTAGAGTAGGGTAATGTTAGGTGGGGGACAAAGATCTGTGTATAATCCAATTACTGTTGAAACAGAAAATAACAACAGGTGACTGTGATCCCAGTCCTATTGACCCAGGCCTCCTTCAGATTTACAACTTTGGGAACAAGATGATAACTGGCAGAGACAAGGAAATTAGAAAAGACAATCATCATCTCATGTGAATTTGCTAAATAACCCCAGGTAGGAGAGACTCCTACATTGGGGAATAATATATCTCAGACTGACAACTAGAAAGCTCTGTAAAGCCTGAACACACATTCTGTTTATTGTATCATATTTTTAGCTCCCAAGATCAGAAGAAAATGGGCCCATTCAGAGTGTATGGTCATAGACATCATATGGTATTTTGAAAACCATAAAAGCTCACTTGAAAACTCTGTATTCTGACTCTCTTAAGTAATCAAAGGAACTAGGATTTTTGTGTGCACACGCTTTCATGGCAGCTGTCAGCTCGAGTTGGAATACTGCTGCTATTGGATATAACATAAGTCCTCCAGGTCTCCAATACTTCCTAGTACCTAGAATCAGCCTAATTAACAGGTGCATGATATTTTCCTGGAAATACCCTTGTATTTATTTATGCCTTGACTTTGTCAGCTCTTCTAACTTTAAAAGATCACTAAAGACCTAATCATAAACCACCGATTGAGTATAATTATAGTACAATGTACTAGGGTTGCTATAACCAACTCTTGAACTTTCTGAAGGCTAAAAGAAAATAGGTATGAAGTGTAAGCTAGAGAAGGATGAGGAGGAAGAGGATAGAAAATAGATGATGATAGTGGTTGCCCTGTTAAGTAGAGACACCATTCCACATAATGACACCTACTTTCACCCAGCATCAATCACAGTGACAGCTTCCCTGTCCTCACTTTGTCTGTACTCACCGAGCACTGCTGTGCCAGAAGGACACTATAATGCGTTTCTCCAGCAACCAAATGGTCTAGCTTCTACCCTTTCTCCAACCTCCTAGGTTACCAATTCACAATAAAACCTGGGTCCACTTACTTTTTGACCTCTTCTTAATAGAATCTCAGAGTGCTAATCCACTGATTAGGGATCTGCCCTCCTAGCCTAGCTCTCTGACAAGTATTTCCCACAATGGCTATGGGTCACTTTCCAAGGTTAAGTGAGTAGACCACAGAAGCCATCTCTAAAATGGCTTATTCTCACCAATTCTCAGCCTCCAGATCAATAATAACTTGTCCTGGGAGGATCTCCTTTCTTAATTCCCTAGAGCCTCCTGTTCTATCCATGTTCATCCATCAAAACCTTGGTATACTCTAGGTTCAAACGAGCCTCTTAAGTACTGTCCTGGTT